CATTACATAAAATTTCATGTGTGTAAGGCACCTAGAACTGTCTAGCTGTGCCTCACAGATTATTCCTCCAAAGGTAAAAGGTCCAAGACTGTACAACTATCATGGACACTGAATGGTATGAATAGCACAGCTGGAATGCTTGTGGAAATACTCATATTTTTAAAGGACAGAAAAATAGCTTAGACTGCACTACTGTGACTGGAAATCTGAAGATGGAAGACACCATATCATATGCAAGAATCATAGAATCACAGAACTGTTTGGGTTGGAAGGGACCTTAAAGATCACCTAGTTCCAACTGCCCTGCCAGGAGCAGGGACACCTCCCAACAGACCAGGTTGCTCAAAGCCCCATCCAACCTGGCCTTGAACACTTCCAGGGATGGGGCATCCAGAGCTTCTCTGGGCAGCCATGGATGCTTGTATCCCTCCATTCTATACATCCCTCCATCAATATCTTTGCAGGCTGTATGTGTTCAAACTCTTTGCCTTATTGTAATATATCCTGACCTTTTACATTTCCTTAGTTTTAGGCTCCTTGCATTGTTTCAGACCCTTAAACAGAGGCATGTACAACACACAGTAACCATGTCCTAAAACCACCTTGAGTGTCAAGAAGCCTCTGGACTAAGCACAATGTGATGTAGATGGCACCTCTGTGTGTCCTTTGGCCTCAAGGTCATAAGAGAATCCTCGTCACATCTATTTTGCAGGGTCACTATAGATATATCTAATTGGAACAAATAGAAGACAACTCAAAAGCAGAATGTGGCAAATGCCACAGACAGATGGAACTGAAGCCCACTGTTTTGGAGACTTTCTGAAAAGACACCATTTATTTTGGTGAAACGTGCACCAAATATGCAAGCATATATTCCCCGTAACTCTGGGTTTGACCAGTGCTTCTGAGCTGCTTTTCAGATCTATCCCTTAATATCCTAAAATGAAGCTTAAAGCTAAACTAATTAAATACTTGGATTACTCTAAAAATAAAACATCTCCTAAAATCTGTATGTTCATTAATGAAATGATTGATTCTGATTAATGGAGGCAGAAGGTTTCCACTGAAAAGTTCTCCTGAAGCTCCACAGTGAATGTGGGAGAAACGGTCCCAAGTGATGGATCACTTGCTGAGTGGCTCAGATAACTTTCCCCTGCATTCATTCTCTGGATAAATGTTCCTTTTGAGAGTGCTTCTGAGGTCAAAAGTCTTTCTGGCCATGAAGGCTGTGAAAAAGTGGAAGGCTTTCACCAAAGCACTGTTTGTCACCAAGCACCCTGGGCTGTGAAGCTTTTCATTGTTCCATGCCTCATTCCGATGAACCAGTTTGACAGCTGCAGTTTTAGAAAGATCTACCAAATACAAGGGAACAAAAAAGAAATAAGGAGATGGGAAAAAATTTCACTGAGAACATATGGGTCAGGAAAACGGTGAAAAAACTGCTGATCTATTGATTGGCTAGAGAGCACAAAATCTGTATTTTTAGGTGATTAAAAGCTAGATTCTAATTTACTCACCCATTCTGGGTGGTAACTCACTCTCAACTTCTCCTGTTCATTTCAGTGGAACTACAGGAGAGCTTATGCACTGTGAGTAAGCAAGACAAAACCTCATGCTAATTTACATGCTGCAGTTAGCCATGGCTGATAAACATTTATCTCTTGAACATGACTACTTGCCACGCTCTCACATTCTCAATATGAGGTGTAATGGTGTTAAATATTGACACTGAATTGAACCTTGCCATACAAAACCCATCACATTTTACATGGTGAATCTTTTACGTAGCTTCTTTTGCTCCCAGCAAAGGTTTCAGACTCATCACCTGCTGTCACTGCAATATCCAGCACTGGTAGTGCAATCTGACCTTAAAGCCTATATAGTAGCTAATGGAGGATTCCATGTGAAAAATAATATAGTGAGCATAATGCCTGTGTAATGTTCTGCCTCTTGCTTCCAAAATTGTAGCTGGTATGTCCAGTCCATGTTGTCCTTCTGTCATGTCAACTTCTGGATGCATTTTCAGTTCTCTGGCCATTATGCAGCTGGCATAAATGAAAGCAGGGCTGTACTTTCATTGATACACCATGCCTTAACGCTGCATCTGTTTCTTTACTTGTCTCTTCTTGACCTTCATTTAAATACTAACAGAGTATTTATCTTGTAAAAGGGCAGATGGACAGGCTAACAGGCCCTGAATCTGTGCAGGAGGAAAATTCTGCACTTACAGCCAGAATATAGTATACGATCCCATGCGTCCCTATAGAACTGCATGCCATGCAAATAAAGTTCTTTCTATATTATTCTTTATTGAATTTAAAAGACAGCTCACTCATTTTTTTTTTTCCCCTTTCTTTTTCTTTTTGTCAGTCCTAGTCTGAGTAGATGGTCATTACTATTTTAAGCCTAGGCAGTAAAGATCTTTCCCCTTCAGACTTGCCACACAAAAATATAGTGCTTTACACAGCAAGTCATACTCACAGCTTCTTTTGTCCTCAGTAAGTCTCTGAAGTGCAAATTAGAGGGAAGCGTATATAAATGACAATGATTTTTTAAGACATTGACATACTTGGTGTCACCTGTGTCTATCACAATAGTACCAAAGCATCCTTTCCCTTGCCACACATGGACTTTTGTTTTTCTTACACAGCTCTCTAATTGTGGTTTTCTTGTTTCAGTTGCCTGAAGCCAGAGACATAATGTTTCTTGTCTGACTCCAAGGCAAGTTAAATAACTGTCATATATCATATGGGCTCCCCTTTGTTATCAGTGCTCTGTGGTTGGTTCTAATTAGATGACTGAATTACTTAAGAAACCAGAAGGAGTGAGGTGGTTCCCCTGAATGTAATTAGCTACCTACTGCATGATCCTCTCGAAACTCCTGTGGCTAGGGATCTCCCAAACCTTCCTTCTTCCCTTCCAAAAGAGCTCGTGTTGTCTGGGCCTTTGTTCCCTCACTAGTAATTACAGAATCAGAATTTTCATGATCGTTTAAATTTTGTGTAAAAGCTGATACAGAGCAATTTCAGTGCTGCCTCATTCTGAGAACAAACAAAACCTTGCACCTTTTGAATCCACCTCCCTGCCTGCGTGATTAGCACTGATCAAGGTTTTCAGTATATCTGAGAGATGGAGAAATACAATTACTTTTTGCAGTATTAGAAATAATGGCACTTTGCATTTCAGTTCATGTAAGGTAGTGCAACAAAAAGCAGAGAAAGTGATGCACAGACACTTATATGTGTTTATATTGATGAAAACAGACAGACACATTCTGCCCACGCTTTCAGCTTTGCCTATAATTTGTAAATGCAGTTAATGTCCAAACTAGTAAAACCTGCTTTTAACAATGCTTACCACCTGGGCATTAGGCTGTACTACTTCTGTGTGACCAGATTTGTGACCAGAACAGAAATGTCAAATCATCTGTACTCTGCTCTGAATGAACTGATTGCAACCTGCTCATGTAGAAAAGTGCCCTGTGATACCTGATCTATGCTGTAGCTAGTGAATATGACATCCACCACCTGCAAGGATTTCTGTACTTTTTCTTAAGAGGCCTCAATATCAGGGTTCTCAGAAATGTTATCTGAAGGTTTTTCAAATTACATCATAAATATAGCTTACTGAGAAATAATGTCACTGCTGCTTCATGTGCACTATACTACTGGTAGACATGTTCCATAAGGAATTCTGTGGTTTGTATTCCTAATTTTCCAAAGTGAAAGTGATGTTGATATATCCCTTACAGCATGTTTGCTTCATCTTGCACAAACACTGAAGAATTGCAACAGAGCAACTCACCTAACTTATTATTCTGCTCAATATAATTGCGCATCTAAGACCACCTATTACAGTGTCGGTCTTCCTGCCTTCCATCTTATTAACCTTTGAAAATGCTTATTTGAGAAAAGGAAACATTCAAACTCTAATAGCTATATGCAGAAGTAGAAGCTATAGTATAGCAATACATCACTCCGCCACAGCTCTCCAACCCTGTTGTTTTTCCCTTAATGTTGAAATAGGGCTCCCTTTCAAAATCTTCTCCCTTTAGGTACGGGAAAGAATCCATCAGTATGATGCTGATAGGCTATACTCTGTATAACACATCAGGTCATCCATCAGCACAGCCATTATTATGCCAGGTGCTTCAAAGCTTGGGAAGCTACCAGCTCTCAAAACCCATTGTATTGCAAGCTGCTCTCAGTGCACAGAGACCATCTTCACTATGCATATCAGTGGGAACTTGTAAAAAGCAAAAGGTCTCTACAAGAGGGTGAATCTCAAAAGGTTTGATTCAGACACCACGGGAAAAAAAAAAAAAGTTTTTAAGTAGCTTCTTTGTTATGAAAATCAGTTAGAAAATCTCATGAGAATAGGTTTTCTGCTTATGAGAATTGCAGTATTGTCCCAGTTTTGGCTGAACTGAAAATACCAATAGAATGGTCTTTTCTTAAAATGCTTTAATAAATCAATAACTGTTTTTTATCAAAACCAACAAAAGTAAGAAGTCTGTGAAAACTCAAAATGTTAAACAGAGAAAGAAAATGTTTGAAAATGGATAACTTCACTCTGGAGCTGACTTCACAGACCTGGAAAAATACCCAGTAGGCCTATCTTCAAGGAGGTTAGAACCATATGTTTCTGTGCATTTGTTCTTTATCTTTTCAGCTAAACCAGAAATGAAAGAAAAAAATAATAATACAGCCCTCCAGCTCTATTATAGCTTTTATCATTTCAGATCTTTCCCTTAATAATTCAAAGTAAACTAATTACCTAATTAAGTTAACAGGTGTCAGTCATTCAAACATAAAGAGCTACTTGATAGACCTGAACTGGGGAATTCTTTTCCTTAAGTGTCTGCACTTAAAATTTGAAACATAATGGCATTAAAACAACTGATTGAGTTCTTTTAAAGACATTGTAGCTTAGATCCTTACTGGAGGCATTCACCTGTGAGGTAATTAGGCTTTTACCTCCCATTACAATACTTTGGCAAGCTTCCTGATGAATCCTTTATGTGTGGTCCCTCATGTCTAGGAGCCTACAGTAAAGAGTTGTACTGTTTGAAAGGAGGATGAGGAGCTGCTTGTTAAAGGAAGGGGAGAATGCTGGCCTTGCTGTGAGTGGAATTGTGTTGATAATTATAGTGTGTCCATTATCATCCTTAAAAATACAGTATTATACTACGATAACAGGAACAATATTGTTGGGGCTATTGTATGTGGGGCTAAGTGTTGTAAAATTAGTGGATTCTTTAAAAATATGCAATACCTATTTTTTTTTTTTTTAAATGAAAGCTTAAGATGATTTCTATCTCTTCTCCAGTATATTTTGTGGATCTTGATTTTTTTGTACTGCCTCTTTTTTTTTTTTTTTTTTTTTTTTCCTCCCCTGAATGAATCCAAGTGGTTGCCTGTAAGAGCTCTTCAGTTCCATAATTTCCTGAAAAGCATGAAAACATTGTGTCTCAGTAATAAGCAGGAAGTCATTAGAAATGACAAAAATTGTCTGGGACCCCTGAATACAGAGAAAGCCTATCCTGTGAGATAAAGTAGACAAACATTTCACAACTATCTGTGCTGATTTGAGACCTTCTTTTCTACTCAAAATATTTCAGGTCTTGAATGTCTATAGTTTTCTTGAATGTCTATGGAAAATCAGGAAAACCCAGCATGTCTGCTTGTTTTTGATGCTCAGCAGAAAATATATATTTTACGAAAGTAAGCTACAATCATGTCAACCAACAGAAATACTGCTTATTACTTGTCCATACACTGCGCTCATATATTAATGCTGTCCTTAGAGTATCTAGATATATGCCTGTATGTACATGTATCATTTCTGTTGACTTGATTTCTTACTGCTGTTTAGTCCAGTGGCACAAGTAGTAACTGTGTATGTTGTAGTGGTGAAAGATCATGATCCATAGCCAGCTGCTGGTAGTTCTTGTGAAACTGATCCAATGTAACACGATGCCAGGCTAGAAAAGTGGGTGTGATGAACTTTCAGGGGGAGCTTGACTGAGATTTGGACCTGTTTCTCAGTGACTGCCTGTGAGGCAGTCCTCTGGATGGTGCGCAAACAGGAACTAAGCTATGTGTGGATGTGATCCAGAGCAGGGAGCTGAGTGCTGGTGAGTTGTCTTGTGTCAATATGTAGTGTGTGTGTGTATGTGCATATACACACATACTATTCTATAATTACTATGCTTTTTATACAGAGTATAACATTTGACCACAGAAAATGGAATGGAATATCCTGAGTTGGAAGGCGCACAAGGACCATCAAGTCCAAATTCTGGCTCTGTACAGGACTACCCAAAAATTAAACCATATGTCTGACTGAGAGTGTAGTCCAACCACTCTTGAAATCTGGCAGGCTTGTACCCATGTCCACCTCCCTGGGGAGCCTGTTTCAGTTCCTGACCACACTCTCAGTGAAGAACCTTTTCCAGATATCCAACCTGACCCTCCCCTGTCCCAGGTCCGTGCTGTTCCCTTGGGTTCTGTCACCATCCCCAGAGAGCAGAGCTCAGCACCTGCCCTTCCACCCCCCTTGTGAGGGAACTGCAGGCTGCCATGAGGCCTCCCCTCAGTCTCCTCTACTCCAGGCTGAACAAATCAAGTGGCCTCAGCCATTCTTCATACGCCTTCCCCTCCGGGCTCCTCACTGTCTTTGTAGCCCTCCTTTGGACACTATAGTGGTTTTATGTCCTTCTTATATTGTGGCACCTAAAACTGCACGCTGCTTGAGGTGAGGTAGCAGCAGCACAGAGCAGGACAAGCCCTTCCCTTGACTGGCTAGCAGTGCCATGCCTGATGCACCCCAGGACACTGTTGGCCCTTTTGGCTGCTAGGGCACACTGTTGATGACTTAAATTTGAATAGCCTTCAAGCAGAACACCCAGGTCTCTTTCCTTGGGGCTTCTCTCTGGCCTCTTGTTCCCCATTGTGTACGTATATCCAAAGTTGCCCTGCCCCAGGTGCAGAATCTGTCACTGGCTATTCTTAAATTTCATATGGCTGGTGATTGTGCAGCCCTCTAATCTATCAAGAGCTCCCTGCAATACCTCTTTACCCTCTAGGGAGTCAACAGCTCCTCCCAAGTTAGTATCAGCTTCCAGGCTTGATTAAAAACAGCACTGTGTAAGTTGCATTAATTCTGTTGCTCTGAAAGCCTTTGAAATGTATAATAAATGGAAGTAAAATATTTAGTGCCTGGGTTCAAAAAAGCAGTGAGACAAATTCATGAAAGAAATGCTTAGCAGAACAGTTAAACACAAAGGTGTTGACTTCTACTTTAAGTCTTTGATTGCCTTACTGCTGGAAGGTGCAAAAGTAAGGTGAGAAATGCATCAGCTCGCATTTACCCTCTTTGGTTCTTTCTCAGGCTCTATTGGCTGATGATGGTAACAAATTATTGTGCTAAATGGACCTGCTGTCTAAACTGAAATGATTATTCTTGTCTTCTTATGTTAGCAAATTTTGGTATTTGGCATTATTTTTGGTAGTATATTTATGTTGAAGCAGTGTACAATAACAATGTCACAGCTAGGAAAAACACTGGCAGAAATGAACAAACTGAGCGGTGGTATCATTTTTCATTCTTCAAATCTCCAGTGAGAAATTTTACTTGTAGTACAAATGATACGTGGGAAAATTGAATGAAAATCAAGCTTTTTTTTTTTAACTTGTGTAGTCTCAAAATAAATAAATTTATTTTTTTATTATTGTATTTATGCTTTGGCAATGTGCAGGTGTCAGGCAGAACATATTTCATTCATGTTAGTAAAAGCATGCAGCAAGCAAAGGGCTTGTGTGCATTGGTAGAGGTAAGTTACAGGGAGTGGATGCATCACTGAATAAAGAGTAAAGAGGAAAAACAGGTATTGTTTGATGTGGACACCTACAGACAAACTTCCCATGAACTCTGCCACACAAAATATCGTTTTATTAGATGAGCCATTATTTCTGGTTCTCTCTTTATTTATTCATTTTTAAAGAAGACTGAGATTTGTAACAACCAAGCAATCCTATAATTAAGAGTGTGCTCTTTCTATTTGTTACTGAAAAACAAAGCTATTCCTCTGACTGGGAAAGTTTATTTTGAACTGGCAAAACTATCAAAGGACATAGAGAATGAAGAATTTGGGGCAACATTCGCCTGTGTTATATAAACCACTCAGCAAATTGTGATGGTACTGCACATTTTTTGCTAGAGGCCTAGTTGGGAGAGTGGGGGCCTAAGGTCCTCAGGGAATTTAAATTCCCTGTTCAGTGAGAAAGGTCTTGAAACATGGCATCATTGTGTTTATGGAGCAGGAATAAGAAGGTTGAAAACGACAGAGAATCCTTTCACAACCAAAATGGCTTGTAGCCTGGTGCTAAGAGATCTGTTTTGGCACTGTAGGCACCGTATCAGTGGCAGAGAGTCTAAGGGTAATGACGAAGACAGAAAATAAAAGGTCCTCTTATTCCAAGACAAGATATGAACTGTACTAGCTGGAGACTGCAAAGGCAACAAAGCTGTCTGTATGAGGCATACCTGGTTATAAATCAAGTTCTTGGTTGCTTCTGGAAGTCTCCGTGGCTTGACTGTGGAGCTGAATTATCAGATCTTTATAGAGAGATGAAAACCATGTATGTAATTTGGGTTAATTCTCTGAGTTGTTTGCAAATAACCAATCTGGAGTTTGTATAGAATAACTTGACTGAACACCTCTTAAAAATGGAATTTCTAACTGGTCTTCTAATATGTATTTTTACAGGTGGATAAATCATACAGTGGTGTACAGGTGTTGCTTAAGATATTATATGGAATACTGCATTATCTATCTATATAATTTATTCTGCTTAAATCTTTGAATAGGATGTCTATTATTCCTTCAAGAATTACTCATTACTTATTCTCTTATCTAGAAATGCATATATTTACAGGTAGTAACAACACCTGAATATTTTCTCAAAGAAAAGCCTATTTTTTTTTTTCTCTGAAGAAACACGCAACTCTTTCCTTCAAATGATCAATTTTAACCTTCAAAAAGAAGAAACTCCTCTAGAACAGAAAACATAACAAGCTGAAAACATTTTATTTTATGCTTGTATACACTAGGATACCAATAGCTGACCGAGAAGTGAACTGTTCCAAATATAACAAAGAGCACAAAAAATATGTAACTAAGTGTAGGATCCTGAAATACAACTAACCACACCAGAGCCAAACAGATTCAGTTGTCAGGTAACTGCTGCAAACACCATGCATTTTTCAACAGAACAAAATCAGAAATGCAGATTTACAGGGAGAAGGTTTGCAATATATTTATGGTAGATGTAAGTTTTTCATCTCTGTTATTCAGCTTAAACCACATTTCACCACAAAATGACACTATTCTGGCTGCTCTGGGAATCCAGCAATATCATGGAGGTTATAAATAAGAATCAAGAGAGAAGTCAGAACAGGTACTATAACAGCACAAGCATGAGATGATATGGTTTCAGCTGTGTGAAGCATGGCTTTTTTATATAATGCTACATGGAATCATACAGAAAGCTACCACGTGCTTTCAGTCCACTGAAGATAATTATGATGCTGGCTGATGCTCTACTTTCAGTGAGAGCAACTAAAATTACTTGAATCAATGGTTAGGTAGAAATAATACAAAAAAAAAATCATAAAATTATTTGGATCCGTATTTTTTTCTTCTGAAAAGTAATGAAAAGAATATAGAAAAAATCTCTGAAATTTATCTGTTAATGCAAAGCTGAATATGTCACCCATAATTGACCAGCTCACTTAAAAAAAATAAATATATATAATAATTTGGAAGTAAAAATTGAATTTTCTTATTCAAAAATGCCAATTTTGCTTTCAGAATGTTATTTGTCAGAATTGGCATGTAAAAATGACATTTGACTTATGAAAAATCTGTAATTTGTTAATGGGCAATTACTTATTGGAGGTTTTTTAACCAGATGTAACTGAAACTATTATTTCAGAACAAAATGTTGTCCCTGTGATTAGAAACATAATGATATTACTGCACTCTCCTGTGCTAATCCTGACAAAACTATTATTTTGAAATCGATGATAATTTTATCATCAATTTCAATGGGTGAGAAT